GCTAGCAGGAAAGAGAAGTAATATTTCACAGCTCTGAAGTAAAGGAGGTCTGTATTTCACAGTTATGACAACATAGCTGTCAAATATGGCTTTTTAAAGTGTTACATATGAACCCAGACAGTTTTTATGGTAGCATTTGTTTCAGGGGGCAATTTAAGGTGAGCCTTGGACAGTCTGAAGTTCAGCTGCTTGAGAAACTTGTCTTTCCCGCTGTTGTTCCTTAGAGCTATTAAGGTCAGCTTCTAGGTGCTTGAGGTCAGGTCTCCCCCGAGCTGTGGTGGCTGCTGTCTGCACAAGGGTACCTGTGCTTGGCTTCACTGAGTACTACGTCCCTCTGTGCCAGCTCGCGTCTGACAGGCAGTCGAGGTGTCTAGCTGTTGGGTGGAATATAGCAGCACTTGTCTTTCCCGCTGTTGTTCCTTAGAGCTATTAAGGTCAGCTTCTAGGTGCTTGAGGTCAGGTCTCCCCCGAGCTGTGGTGGCTGCTGTCTGCACAAGGGTACCTGTGCTTGGCTTCACTGAGTACTACGTCCCTCTGTGCCAGCTCGCGTCTGACAGGCAGTCGAGGTGTCTAGCTGTTGGGTGGAATATAGCAGCTGCTCCTCGCAAAAGATGTAATGGGGTAAGAAAAAAAAAAAAAAAGGCTCTTAAAAAGTAGTGAATCGCTGCTGTGTTGTGTTGCTGCTGTGAAGGGTGGAGGGATATGCGGCATTATTTCTTGTATAATGTCCTCTCAGCTGTTCGGAGAAGCTCTGGCTCCACTCTCGCGGCGTAAGACTATGATTCTATTCAAAGAAGCTGTAATTATTGTTTGGTTTAGTAGAGCACGGTTCTGTGACTAGTCAGGAGAGGTCACTGAGCACCTTAAGGTGAGCGTGTCAGGTTCTCTGGCAGTTTAAATACACCAGTGGTGGCGCACGCATTCAGTAGGAAAGCACTTGCACATCTTGTCACAAGCGTTTCGGATGATGCCACATGGGGGGATAAATTTTCGCACGTGCTCACTCCATTTGCCAGGTTAAATATGAGAAACCTGAGCTGTTTGTGGAAGTGCTTAAACCCACTGATTCTTAGTTAAATGGTGATCATTTCCTAGGGAAGTTCTAGGGTTTACCCTAGAAGATATTCCCGTCGTCTACAGAAAGTGCTTCTTTTTAAGATGCACCGTTGCCACCAACAGATGCCTTGAATAGATGCGTAGTGTCACAGTGCCTGCCTTGCAGCTGAGCTGTTCTGAAAACATCATTAAGAGGTTTAAATGTGATTTCAATGTCCTGCATGGACGGTTGAACACCACGTTCCCTGTATGAACTTTTTTCCAGAGTTTGGTAAGGTTTTTCCACTTCTCAACTTGTGATTGTAGTATTGAATTTTAAAACTGTGACCAAGAGGTGCAGCAAAAAACAAAGGCTGAAATCCAAACCTGTTGTGTGTGTTTGGCTTGAAGCAGTCTTTTTCATCAGCTGTCTCTAGGGGCTGATAACAAGAAGATAGCTTTCTCTTAGGTTGCACTATAATAATACAGGTTTCAATCAGCAGAAGTTTCTTGACATGTTCTTCAAGTGTCATAAAGGAGCACCGTTCTCTTCTGTGTTAAAGAATGTTTTCTGAAAGTCCAGAATAACTTACTGTTTTCTGTTTGCCGGTGAAAATTGTTGAACGTCTCTACATATCATTAAAAATAATATTTTTGTTAGTCCTCAAATAGTCTGCAGTCAGCCTGGTCACTGCCCTGCTGGACGTTCTTCCCTATGAATTAAGGGACTTGATTTTCCAGAGATGCTTTTTAGCAGCAATTAATTTGCATCCTTTAAAATTAAAAAAAAAATTTAAAAAAAATAAAAAAAGGAGCCTGAAACTCACCTGTCTGTGATCTGACTTTGATTTCTCTGGCTCCGAGGAGTCTTGAGGGTGGTTGAATGCAGTGACAGGTTGCCCAGAGAAGCTGCAGAGCCATCATCGCTGGAGACAGCCAAAATCCACCTGGACGCGGTCCAAAGCAGCCAGTTGTGGTTGCCTGTACTTTGAGGAAGGGCCCTGGATTTGATGATCTCCAGAGGTCCCTTCCAACCTCATCTGTCCCGTGATTTTTGTGATTTTCATGAGTTATTGCGCACACAATAAATAATTTGGAGTTATGTACGACTAAAGAGGGTCGCTATTCTGGAGCTTCGTTTTTGTCTGCTTGTTGGACATGTCAAAACTTTTAGGCTTTTTCTACGCATTGTGCATAAAAGTGTATGTAGCACGTGGCTTTGATTTGAGTCGTGCAGTTACAAATGATAACAGATTTCCTCTCTGCTCTGTTTATCACACGGAAAAATTAGCTGTGCAAATGATAGAGAAAAGCAGGAGGCTGAGCCCGTACTCCT